CTTCAAAACTTGTGATCGTGTTTCAATCACTCATAGATAACATCACTATAATAATATAACTATTTAAATCATAATATGACTTTCTAGATAAAATAAATAAAATAATTTCTTTTAAGTTAAACAAGTTAATTTGGAGAAACTTTCTTTTATTAGATTTTCTAATTGTTTGAAATTTTGAATAAACTTATCGAAAAACATTTATAAAAGAAAAAACAGAGAAAAAAATTTGAAAATAAGATTTTGAAAAACTAATTAATAACAACTTTTATAAATTAATTTTTACATAAACTAATTTTAACTTATGAAAAAATTTATTTTATTTTTTCTTTACATTTTTCTCTTCTAAAAATATTTTACCTAAACAGATCATATTATTAACCAGGGACGGATTCATTCACACCACAGTGGGGGCAGTGGCCCCCACTAAAATTTTACAGTTTTTATTTATTTATATATATATATATAATATTTTAATTTATTGTAAAAAAAAATTATTAAGTAATGATTATAATGACATACATCTTATAAAGATATGATATTTATTATTAAAAACTATTTTTGTATATACTATAAATACAATATATGTTGATATATTATTAAAAGAAAGTGTAAATATAGACTAGAGTGAAACTTTCTATATGTGATTATATGTAACATTTTTTTACGATGATTGTTTTTGTATCTAATATTTTAAAATATATTAATATTTCATTTATATTTTATTCTATCGTGTAATTTTTTTTACTGACCGAAAATTTTATTACTTCTTATTCATTAAAGATGTCATAATTTAGTTTATAAATATAAGTTAGTTTTTTAATTTTTATTTTAGTTTTTAACTCTTTTAATCTTGTATATGTATATTATGTGTTAGTGGGAGAGGATCCAAATTAAGAGGAATGAGAGTAATTGTCACACAAAGTTTTTTATTTATTTTTTACTTAAACATATTTAATAAAAATAAATAAATTTACTCTTATAAAAAAAATAGGTGTTGTTCTCATAAAATATTTTTGTTTTAAATGAACGAAGAAATTTAGAAGAGATACAAAAGAAAATAAATAGTAATTATATTATCTTTATCTTAATAATTTATATCATTTTATTTCTTTAAAATTAAATAAGTCATTAAAAATTACAACATCATACTTAAATATAATATCTGACAGAAAAATAAAAAGAAGAGAAATTGTCACTTTATTTATGACAATTTTAATTTGTAAAAAATAGGTATATTAAATTTTTTATCACAAAAATATACTTTTAAAAAATTTATTATATTTTAATAAAAAATATTTTATTGCCCCACTTAACAACTTTTCTAGATCCATCACTGTTATTAACGGCGATTAATTTTATAGCTTTTGGTATATGTTTGAGTCTAAGGTTTTTATGTGGAAAAAGAAACAAATATTTTTAATTTGAAAAAAATCTGTTATATATTTGTAATATTTTTTATGCTTCTATATGTTTGTAATATATAGAATTTTTTTTACAGTATAAAAGTTTTAGAATGTAAAAAATTAGAACTACTATAAGATTCGGTGAATTCAAATCCTGGTGTCGTCTCGATGAATAAAAAGAATTTGTAATATTAAAAAGCACGAAATTTTAATAGAGTAGTGTTTTATATTAATCGGGTACAATTTTAATTAAATTTGTTGGTTGTCGGTGTGGTAATAGTAACAGTGTTTGGTCAGATAAAAGTAATTTAGTTTTAAGTTTATTCTCTAAATTTTAATTAAATTTCTAAATCTCTAAAAAAATTAAATTTCTAAATTAAAAAAAACTATAATTAAATATTTTATTATTATTTTTATTTTATAATTTTGTAATTTAATTCATGAGATTATGAAGTCATTTAAACTTTGTAAAATTTTATAAAATATTTTTTTAAAATATTTTTTATATTATATTATGACAATCACATTATATTATCATTCTACTGGTATTCGGAACAAACCATAACTGAACAACCCAACAATGATAGTCCAATTTTCTTGCGATGGAATGGAACAAATCAAGTATCAAATCATTTTTAGAATGCAATCGGTCAGAAAATCGAAATCATTAAATCAGAAGAAAAAAACTAACAAAGAGGAAAGAAGGAAATAATAACTTTATTTATATGATCCTTATTGAACATTGAAATGATAAATTGCCGCCAAAAATAATAATGGCCAAATAATTAAGAGTGGAAAACGATGTAATTATGTGAAAAAAAAAATGAAGGTACTGCTTGGAGGAGGAAAACGAAAATTCCTCTAAATTAAAAGCTCGTTCTGGTGTAGTGTAGTGTCATTTTTGTATATGTTTCGAAAAAGATGGTGAAATTTAGAAAGAAAAAGTGATAAAAGTAGTACCAATTCACTCTTATAACTTTCTACCTCCATTTAGAAAAAATTATCTTACGAAGGCAACATCTAATTTTTTATGGGGGTAAACAAATTATTTAATATCATTAAGTAAAAAATTATTTTGGCTCACATACCACTGTACATGCATCCCAACAACAATGAGATTTTGATATTTAATAATAATAGTTGTAATAATAATATAATTATAATAATGTTGATGATAATTGTGATAATAATAATAATGGTAACAATGATAATTATATTTATAATTTTAGATAAAATATTTAATTTTAATTATTTATTTTAATTTAAGAGTTGGGATTAACTTTTTACATATAATATATTCTCTATATAAAAATATATATTTTAAGAATTTTTTATAAGAGAATAAAAATTGATCACATAAGAAGGTCATTAACTATTATATAATATATCCCCTATATAGGGACATATCTTTTATTTTTTATTTTATACGATATATATATATATGGACATATCTTGTTTGAATAACTTTCCTATATGAATAATAGAAATCAGTAATCTCACCTCTTAATTCAAATAGAAGGTTAAAATTAAATGATGGTGGTAGCCCCCTAATAATAACAATGATAATGATAACGATGATGATGTTTTAAAGTTTAAACAAATTAAGTCAAGTCAATCTTTTAAATTTTTAATTTAACTTATTAAAATAATTTATTTCTCAAATTAAATTCATTTATTTAATCTAGACATAATTAAAAATATTTTTCCCCAACAATAACAATAATAATGATAATGATGATGATATTCTGAAGTTTAAACAAATTGAGTCAAAAAATCTTTTAAAGTTTGAATTTAACTTATGAAAAGAATTGATTGCTCAAATTAAATTCATGTATTTAATCGAGACATAATTAAAAATAGTTGTCCCCAACAATAACAATAATAATGATAATGATGATGATATTCTGAAGTTTAAACAAATTGAGTCAAAAAATCTTTTAAAGTTTGAATTTAACTTATGAAAAGAATTGATGACTCAAATTTAATTCATGTATTTAATCAAGGCACAATTAAAAATAGTTATCCCCAACAATAACAATGATAATGATAACGATAATGATGTTTTGAAGTTTAAACAAATTGAGTCAAGTCAATCCTTTAAAATTTGAATTTAACTTTTGAAAATAATTAATTGCTCAAATTTAATTCATGTATTTAATTGAGACACAATTAAAAATAGTTATCCCCAACAATAACAATGATAATGATAATGATATGATGTTTTGAAGTTTAAACAAATTGAGTCAAGTCAATATTTTAAAGTTTGAATTTAACTTATGAAAAGAATTGATGATTCAAATTTAATTCATGTATTTAATCGAGACACAATTAAAAATAGTTGTCCATAACAATATCAATGATAATGATAATGATGTTTTGAAGTTTAAACAAATTGAGTCAAGTCAATCTTTTAAAGTTTGAATTTAACTTATGAAAATAATTTATTGCTCAAATTTAATTCATGTATTTAATTAAAAATTTGAGCTTAATTCTTTTAAAAAATAAGTTTGAGTTTGACTTGTTTAACTTATTTATAACTTTATTTTTATTTTTATAATTTTTTAAAAATTATTTCTTAACTTTATTATCAATATTAGATAATTATCTACTAACATAAAAATATTCTTAACATGTGATATGTGGAATTAAACAATTCTAGACAATTAATTTTTGATAATTTAGTAAATAGAAAAGGCATAACTTATTATTGTTACAACAATGAAACTTTTAAATTAATTTAACATTTTTTAATAGGTGACAACGTTTTTATTTATTTATTTATTTTTAATTTTGGGAAGACACATTGAATTTATCAGTGCAATAAGTGAAGGAATTGATGCACCTAAGATTGAATCTGAAAGTGACGTAGAACAGCGGTCCACTTGTCCAGTAGATAGTACTCTATTGTTTTTATTATTATAAGTAACAAAAATATATACATTTTTTTAAGTATAAACAATTTTTTTTTACTATTTTTATCTCATTTAATAATATTTTTCTTAAAATAATTCTCTTTTAATGTATAACATTTTAATTGCATTATTTTTTTTAGCATTTATATTAAAGATAATTTAAGAAGAATATTATGAGATTCATAAAATTAAATATATATAATTAATTTATTTAATATATGTGAAATACTTTTTTCTTATAATATATAATATAGTGAGAGTAGAGCTTTTTAAAGTAGAATTTTAATTTGGAATAAAAGTTTTAAAAGTGGAAAACTTAATTGATTTGGGAAAGCATCCAGAATCTAATTAACAGGGATGAAAATCATGTGTCTTATTTTCTGTCCTACTAATGATATTTTGACACATCAATTAAAATGCACATGATGTTCATCCCTCTTTTGCCCCCCTCCTCCACACCACATAAATTAAACAAGGAACATGGCCAGGTCACGACATGTTCAGTGCTGCAACTCAACGCTGTCTTCCCTTCTCATTGCAAATGTGTATAATAGTCTCACTAAAGCACCGTAACACCACTCTTTTAAGTAACCACAAAATAAGCAAATGCAAAGCTTACACAATCAGGTCAAGAAATTCAAAGAAAAACTAAGGTTGAAAAGTAAAATTTATATAGACACAATCATAAACAAAATGAAGTTCACAATCAAACCAGTAATTGACTCTAATTAAGAGTATATGTAGTGCACACATATATATATATAGCGACATTAATTAGAAATTAAGCCAAAGGAGAGCATATATATAAATAAGTTAACTTGATATATGTGTACGTGCATGCATGTAGAGTTCCAACTTCCAAGTTCGACGTTACAAGGTAGCAAGAAACTGTATTTGCTTGAGAAGAGGGGTTAGAGTTTCCATGAGCTTCTCGCATGGGTGGTTGTGAATTCCCTCGTAAGTCGTCACCACAATGCTTGTGTCTTTCGATAGCCTTTGCACTTGTTTCTTCACATTGCACGTGTGATGCGTGCACCGGTAGTAGCTTCTTTATTTATCCCCCATTTTCCCAATGCAAAATGAAAATCATCAACCACAAAATTCATTAACCATTAATTCAGTCATCTCATCACTAAAATTATCCAACATGCAGATTAATATTCAGTAATCTTAATTATATATTTTAAATTTTGTATATGGTTTCCGAAAATTAAAGCGAGACTATCATTATTTTCCTAATTGTTTCACCTTGTTTTCGCATTGTTCAAGTGGCTATGAGAAGTGAGAACCATCCTTTTGTGTGTTCGATCCCATATACAAATTATCCTTAGCCAGGCATGCATGCACATATGCAACGTAAAAGAAAACCAACTAATTTGATTGTGAGCTTATTTGGATACAGATTATTATAAGCACTTATAGGAGCTTTTTTATTAAAAATAAAGAAATACTTTAAAAACACTTCTAATCTTGTACCTAGACAGATTTCATTTGACACACATGACAACACACATACCTTGGATAAGTGCTATTCTTCACAGCTTTCTGCCCATATTTCCTCCAGCGATAACCATCATCCAAAATATCATCAGCACTTCTAGTTTGAAACGCAAACCTCGGCACTCGTGTTGTTTTCTTCATCCTCCCCACTTTCCTTTTCTCCTTATCGTTTCCCTTTTCCTTGTTTTCAGCCACCACACAAGACGAAGAACCACGTTCAATACTAGTACTGTTTTGGGCAGAGAAAATGTCACCCCAGTCAATGTCACATAGACCCTGCTCTTGAGGCTCCAAACTAGGGTTTTGAAACACCGAAGGCGTCGTGAACATGAAGGGGCTGTTGTCTTGGCTTTCCATTGAGTCTTAAGTCCGCAATGAAGAAGTGAAGAAGATCAACTGAAGAGAAAATGAGAGTGTTTTGGCGTTGAAACTTATTATAAAGTGGATGGTAGAAAATGTTTGGCAGCCATCACAAACATATACAGACACGCATGTGCATTTATAGACTCAGTGTATGCGTTGATGGTAACGAAAAATGAGTGCATGTGGAACACGTCTCATATGCATTATGGTATGAACTTAGAGGGCAGTTGAGCAGAAGTAGTTGAATTTAGTTGAGTTTAACATTGGGTGCAATGCAAGACTCATTCTCCAAAGCCTGTTGCATAATATTTGTACATCTCTAATTAAGTCTAAGGACTCATTCTCTTGAAATATTCATGTACTGTTTACCTACCGATAAAACTTGCACAAGGTAATAAAGTTAATGCTTACGTCAAGGGTACTCTTGTAATTGCCATTAATTTATCATTTTGGTAACATCAAATTTTCAAATCATTGTTATAATTTTTTTAAAAAACAAATATTATAAAAAGTGTTTATTATATAAAAAATATACACCTCGTTAATTATTTTTTAAGTGCTCTTAATAATTAAATAACCTAATATGTTTGCAAAGGTACGCATTTGCTCAATAAAATAATCCAATCTACATGCATGGTATTAGACCACCGACTTTGATATTGATTGTTTGCTTTGTTGAGGGTGTTGGGATAAAGCCAAGGATATGTACTACGAGCAAGCATAAAACTTAGATACACTTTATTAAGTATATATTAAAATTAAAATTTTATTTCAATAATTTGCATAATAAAACTTTTCACTATAGATTAACATAATTACACATCGGGGTAAAATTTTAATTTTGATTTAAAAAAAACCAAAAAGTACATATGAAACTTATTCCTAAAGTAAATGTGAAACAACCTAAAATTTTATTTTATATATTATATTATTTTGGTCTAACTCGTTTTCAATTAACGGGGGATTCTAAACTTACACTTCAGTTTCTAATATTAACTGTCTCAAACGTGAGTTATCATATTAGTACGTTCTTCTTCATGCAGAAGCCTCCTTGAGTAAAAACTGATAACTGGTTTCTTAATAGAGGCAAAGTGGTCCGCAATGTCACTGTGACTTCATACTCGACAGCTTGAGCATTAGCTCTAAAACCACTCATTGGGTCCGAAGCCCCAAAGCTGAAGGGGGTCTACATTAATGAGCTAAATAATAAACATTACTAGAAAAAATATTTTCTGTTATAACAATATGTAATTAATAATTCAAAATTTCGTCACTTTGATGATCTACCAATTGCCCTGAGAAAAGGTGAAAGGTTTTGTGTCAAGTATCGTATCATATATCTTAATTTGTATATCCACTCATTGATTTTCCATGTGGTGCTAGAGTTTTATTTAGAAGCTTTAGAGGATGAAAAATGGTATTGAGCCATGAATGAAGAGATGAGTTCATTAGAGAAGAACAAGACTTGGAAGGTTGTTGAAGGCCTAAGGATATGACAACAGTAGTTGGATGCAAATGGATTTACCCAGAAATGTTGTTAAGAGGAAGTCAAGGTGGCCATATGTGCAGAGAAACAGAGAACAGAGGAAGCAATGTCCAGAACTTCAGATTCAGGGCTATACCATGCTAGCTAGCTTGAGAAGTTCATTGCTCTAAGGTTCAGAATCTTCAAAGCAATTGCTGGTTGTGATTTTTCCACTCAGAATCTTGTTTCTTCAAGTAACTTCCTAAAAATTTATAAATTGATACACTGTTTGATAATATTGAGATTGAACTCATTTACAGTTTTCTGCATCGACCAAATAATCACTTTCCTGCGATCAGATCTGAAGTCAATCGATCATACTACAAGAGTTACAGCATGTTTGCATGCACATTGACATGGATCCAAGAAGCAACTAATAGTTGCTTTTGCGTTATTTTTTTACGTGATTTTGCTCTCAAAATGAATCCTTTGGCGAGGAAGCAAACACGCACTTAGTAATCAACATTGTCATACAAGTGAAAAAGAATAAAAAACATGGAAAAGCAGAAACATTTATTTTACATTAACAACTGCAGAAACATTTTACAGTTAAAAAATAATTATATGATAATACATTACTTATTCAAAATTACAATTACTCTCCCTCAGGCAACACAAAAAATGTAATAAGCCTACTCCGATGCCTAGCCTACACACTTTAAAAAACTCTTCCTCCCTCTACTTAAGTTGGCAAATTATAAGGCATGAACAACATCATCTCTATTTCACTGATTCTATCATTCTCTGGCTAAATCAGACTATCATCTCAATAGCAGCAGGCAGAACACTAATCTTTTTTGGAAGGAACCCCAAATGCTCCCCATCAGATTGGATGTAAATACCACCCTTGCCTGAGATGTCCTCCACCTCAATAGAAAGTACACTACAAAATAAAAAATAATCTGGATGAGTACCACAACAATCCTATGCTTCCATGAGCTGAAAAAGGTAGCACATTCGGAAAATTGTCAAGCCGCTACAAAATCCTGTTGCAACTTAATTCCACATTTCTCTGTTAGTTGCAATTCAGTACACTTGAGGAACATCCAAATACAAAGTTACATCCAACTAAAACATATAAACAACAATAAACCCAAGACAAATTTTGTCTGAAATCTAGCATTAGAGTAAAAGTAGGCTATAGAAGATAGTGAGTAGGTTTCAAGAACCAGTTATATAATTTGGATCATAGTTAACCAGGTCTGGAAAAGAAGATAATTGACCTCGCTCTAACAATATTTAATATTGATATGTCATGTTTAGATTTGACAATACCATGAAATCTAATTTCATTAGTCATTTAAACCTTATTAGTTGATATTTAACATCAAGAATTAGAAAGTAGCAACTGAAGGTAAAATGAAGAATGGGGGATTGATTACTTTGGAAAAAGATTATACCTTCTAGAAGATACATTTTTAACTGAGAGATGTGTCCCATTGTATAGCTTATGTAATTTGAGCACAAAATCGTACCACTTGAAGCTCTGAAGAGTCACAACCTGCAAAGTATATGAAAAAAACTGTACTTCAATGAAAAACGATAAGCAGGATTTAGGATGAGGTTTAGCCAGTAAATTATTGAAAATAGATGATAATCTTCATCTATGACATTTTACAAAAAGGTATTTCACCTCTAAATTTCTGTTGAAAGGATCAGCATTTGGTGTAATTTTCATGCCACCACCGAAGTATTTTGCATTTCCAATGCAAAGGGCTGTCACTTGAGGACATGTCTCCCATGGGCCATCATTGAACTGCATTTTTCATGTTATAAAACTATTGTGACACTTCTAGTGCACAAACATAAAGATCATGAAAAACAAAAATTATACAGGACCTCAAACAAACACTGACCCTGATTCTCAGATCCTGGTTTTGATGCCCAATGAAGGCTTGCAATGCACCAATGACATAACACAGGTTACCAAATCTCTTGTACCTAGAAGCATAAAAACCCGCCTTTGCACTCCTGTGAAATTTAGTCAAGCATGCTTTAGATATGATCCATGCATTACACTTATTTTGAAATTTCCAAGTTAGCCTTACAAATGAATGTCGGCAACGTTTATGAAGTAATGATGATCACAACTCTCTCCAGTGATAACACCAACATCTATCCTTGATCTCAATCCTAAAGAAGATCTAAATTAGAATGTAATAAGAGACAAACTAAAAAGCGCATGTCAAACATAAGATCTGAGGCCAGCATCAACATACTTCAGCTATCACACAGCTACAATAGAATAATAAAGCAATTATAAATTAAGAAAAAGAGAAAACCTCTAGCAACACGTTCAATGGCCTCATGGGGATCATTTTTCCTGGAAAAGACTCAACAGATGTTTCCGTTCACTTCAATTACAAAGAGCTGATAAGCTCCATTTAAATAAAAAGCACAAGGAGAATGAAGATACAAACAAAAACTAACCACCCAAATGTTCTTGCAAAATCAGAACCAGTTCCCAAGGGGATGAGCTGTATAAAGCCATAACATAGTTATATTTTTCAGTAAGCATTCGATTCAGGATATGTATTACAGATGACATAATCTAAGACCTCAGACATTGAATAAAATCTGAGAATATTGCATTATGGTGGCAAGTACTCACACCAAGAGCAGTTGAACGTGTAGACTCTTTCACTTGACTAGCAACAGGTTTTCCGGCCCAGAAAAACCCATTAACAACCTGCTTGAAGTAAACTGAGGTGCATCAGAAGATTAATTAATATACAACGTTAATATTCATTGGCAACTTTACTTGATATCAATGAATGTTTATAACAAGGAAAATGTTAGCAACACACTTTCTGACACACTCTTTATAATACTTTTCATTAACACTTTTGACTCTTTATAACACATTATGGTGGCAAGTACTCACACCAAGAGCAGTTGAAAGCATAGACTCTTTCACTTGACTAACAACATGTTTTCCATCCCAAAAATCCCAAAAAAACCCATTAACAACCTGCTTGTAGTAAATTGTGGTGCATTAGAAGAACAATTAAGATAAAACGTAGAGAATCATTGACAAATTAAGTTGATTATCAATAAATGACTTTTAAAACAAACAGGAATGTTAGCAACACACTATTTTTTTTTTAGAACTATGAGATTGGTATAAACTTCCAGAAACAATAATTAATCTCTGTCAAAAAACTATGAGGACACATAAGGTGAGTAGTTCCTTTCCAATATAGTCAATTCCATGCTCAAGTCTAGAATTCAAATCTTGGACAACTTAGTTAAATGACAAGCCGTTATCACTTGTACTAACCAATGTTGGTACAGATTAATATTATATCTTAATAATACTCTTCATAAGAAACGTATGGTTGGTTCAACCCTTTCTTATAAGGTAGAGGCTACTCAAGAATTTTCACTGGGAACTACTTTACGTAGCAGTAGAAGTAGCAATAAATGCATCAAATAACATCATCACTAAAACAATAAAAATAAAAAAAGCAGTTTTCACCTCATGAAGAGTTCCATCACCTCCAACAGCAATGACAGCATCAGCCCCCTCCCTTATAGCCTACATAGCAAGAGGACAGTAATTCAACAACTCACTGGAAGCAGTAGGGATAAAACCAGCTTATCTCAAACACTCCAAACTAACCTCTCTCGTTATGTCAATGGCATGACAAGGACCGGATGTTAGGGATTCACATATCTATCCAAAAACAAAAAACATAATGAACTTGAAAATAAACACAACACACAAAGCAAACGAATTTGCAGTGTTCATAAAAACAAACACTCATAGCACAGTAGCAACAACAAGACTCACTCACATTGCACTCTTTACCAAGGCGAGACCGTAGATACGGAACTAGCTTCCTCCACTCCTTACCCGTCCTCCCATTAGCACCTGTAACCCAAGTTTCTAGGTTCAAATTTTTGATAAATTCTGAAGTAAACACTACTTCACATAGCCCCTCATATCACCAATTAACTTGCTTAAAGTTAAACAAATCATGTTAGAAACGCAAGTCCCTCTAAAGATTTTTTATTCTCAAACTAAATGTTGAATTATTTTATCTCTAGACCACATGTATCCTTCACCTTCACCGAAAACAATCCTCTTTAAGCCGAGGATTTACCACAGTCATGTACTTAAAGACTCAAATTTCAAACCACTAGTTAAGCTGAAACAAGCTGATATCATTTGATCCACAGACACTACGTGGTAAACTAACTGTTGATTTGAGTGCCAATTATGGTCCAATTTTTCCAAAAAAATCAGACTTTATCTCCATAAAATAACGGGTAATTCTGCTTTTCTAGCTAAATAAAAAAGGAGAAAAAGGGTAGTTGTAATTCCAACACCCCACAATTTAATTCAGCTGAAAAACAATAAAAAAGTAATTTTTGTGTTTGCACCCAAATTTTATGAGCATACCTAGAGGGTTGACGACGAAAACGAGGTCCTTTTGACGAGAAGGGGAGGAAGAACCAATGCGGTCGGGTGCCATGGGTTGAAACTCTGATCTGAAAGACACGGCGTTGGCAACGTATATCACTCTTCCCAATGCCATCATATGATGATGTTGCAAATAACTGTGGCACGCGATGTTATGCTGAATTTGGAAAAAACAAAAAAGAAGAAAGGAATTGTTGGTCCTATCTGCAGAAGATATCACTCATCTTGCGACTTGTTGTCAATTGCATCGCCGTCTCTGTCTCTATGTAAAATGCTTTATCTCTTCCACACTAATCCCCACCCAACCTACTCTGCTTCTCTGTCTTCTTAAATCGCTTCGGTTAGCTCGTTCTTAACTTCTTGTGTTTATTTTAGGTAAAAATGAAGAGATTAGGTGATCACGGATACGGAATTCAATCATTTTGCTCCATATTTATTTCACATACTCAATTCAATTAATTTCGTTGATTTTTAGGTTGGATATTGAGTTTTAGTGTCGAAAATTCCACTAAATTTATTGAACAAACTTTATTTAATCCAATATATTAAGCCTAAAATACTATAAAATCACCGTAAACTAAGAATAACAATTGTTAAATAGGAGTATGTGAATAAATCATTAATATTACTTAATTTATGTATGGCAAAATTCATTTTATAACAAAATAAAAAATTTAAAACATTAAAAATTGGATTGGAGTATAATTTCTTTTTAATTAATAAAATGATAAATAATATATGATATTCTCATGACTACTCGACAAGGAGTGAATAACATGTTAGAATTCTTAGATCAACTAACATTATCTATTTAGTGATTAACTAAAGTTTAGTAATGTCTAATTTAACTCAATATTTTACTTACAGAAATTAGGGTAAGTAAAAATGTTGAATTTTGCCTAACTTTAATTTTAATAATGACATATTGTTAATATCAAATTTAGAAAAGAAGAATATCCCTTTATGTACTAATAAAGTTGTTCATATATTTCAATAAAAATTAGATTGAACAGAAGACAATATAACATAATAGTTTCTTTAACAAAAAAAAATAAAGATTCGCAAGACATCCTTGTGACAATCTAAAAGAAAATTTAGTATATGTCAAAGATTGTTGATCGGCACAAATGTCTATGTTTATCCCAAGCAAGTAAATAACTATCTCAAGTTGTTGATAAGAAACCTTCAATTGAAATAATGTTATTCAAAAAACTTGTCTTGAAAACTAGGTTTAGAAGACTTGAAGTAAAAATTTACTTAGAAAACACCTTTTTGTAAAAGCTTGACAAATATAAGAAAGTATAGTGATGTCAATATCAAGCAAAAGAACAAAGCAAGCTCAAATGGACCTATTTGATGAGTACCTATAAAAGAAAGACAATGGTTCCAATTTAAGTAAGCAAGAACAAAGAAAGAGAAAGATTTCTCAAGCTTAACAAGCTAAATCACTTGCTCCTTCATCCTCTAATGTAAAAGAGAAATCCACTTCATATATGTAATAAAAAAGAATTGAGATATCTTTCTTAATGGAAGCTCTATTGTAAGAGATTTACTTGTGATCTTTGCAATTTGCAAGAACACAAGAAACTCATTCTTGTAAACACTTCCTACCCAAAATTAAGAGTGCAATGGTGTGAGAAAGCAAAGTAAATCACAACGAGTGTTGTCTATAGTCTCATAGCAAGTGGTTGTGAGATTGTCTTTATTAATAAGTGGTTGAGTGAAGTTTCTCAACAATTGGTTATGTTCTTAGTGAAAAATCCTACAAGGTTGTGTGGAAACTAAATATAGTCTAGTTGGAGTAAACTAGAATAAATCTTATATGTACTATCTCTTTCATTATCTCCTTACTTGTTTATTTAACTTTCTACATTCATTGTCATATTAATTCATGTTATAATTCATTAACAAGTAAACTAAAAAACTATTTTCAAAAAAATACACTTAATATCAGAATTAATTCTATTGAAATGACTTATCTTTTGAGAAACAGGTTTATAAAAGAAACAAGTTTTATAAAAGAAAAACTTAAATATATTTTTAATTTTCCAAATTTAAGGTAAATAATTTTTAATCTCTCAAATTAAAAATTGATCCTTTTAGTCCCTATTATTAAAAAAAAAACTTGTTTTAATCTTTATATTCAAATTTTGTTAGATAATTTGTCAAATATTATTACTTAAAATTTATTTACTAATGTACCTATTAGTAAAAACATCACATTAAATTTTATTATACTGCATAATTACCTCAATTTCTCACTTGTAGATATGTTATAGGTGACTTGAGAGCCTAAAACAAAATTTTTAAAAATTACGGGGATTAAAAATATATTTAAACATAAAAATAATAATTCACTCCCTTTTTATATTCTGAATTCACTTCAAGAGATCCATCAAAAGAATTTTATATATATAT